CTAGGTGATGAAAAAAGGTATTTGTGCATACATCTACAATTCTCTCTCTCTATCTCTCCAGTCCTCTTGACATGAAGTCTGTTTTGTTTTGCTTATTACAGTATAGTTATGGTGAAGAAGCCAGTAAGTCTCGAAAAGCTCCAGGAAATTGTAACCAAGAGATTTGGTGCATCATACATATACTGGTATAATACTGAGGTATGGAAAATAGAAGATAACAGACATACACACACATATGTACTCTCTCTCTTTTCTATGTTTATGTTTCACTTTATTTCTTCCTTCCTTACTCAAATGTTATCTACTCCTTTTCTCCCTTCCCCCTCTCTCTCTCCTCTCCCTTCTCTCTCTCCCTCCCTCTCTCTCTCTCTCTCCCTCTCTCTCTCTCTCTCCCCCTCTCTCCCTTCTCTCTCTCTCTTCTCTCTCTCTCTCTCCCTTCTCTCTCTCCCTCCCTCTCTCTCTCTCTCCCCCTCTCTCCCTTCTCTCTCTTTCTTTTCTCTCTCTCTCCCTTCTCTCTCTCCCTTCTCTCTCTCCCTTCTCTCTCTCTCTCCCCCTCTCTCCCTTCTCTCTCTCCCCCTCTCTCCCTTCTCTCTCTCCCTTCTCTCTCTCCCTTCTCTTTCTCCCTCCCTCTCTCCCTTTCCCCCTCTCTCCCTCCCTCTCTCTCTCTCCCCCTCTCTCCCTTCTCTCTCTCCCTTCTCTCTCTCCCTCTCTCTCTTAATCCTTATCCAACACACAGACTAGGACCATCAGTGGGCTATCAACACAGAATGAATTAGATTTTGCTCTTTCCATATACGAGAGATTCACTGGCATCACCAGCCTACGTGTTGTTCTCTCCCGTCAACCAGTCACCATCACAGCCCCACCCACTGATGTGTTAAGCTCCGCCTCTCCCACTCCCGATAATGTAAGTGGAAGAATATTATTATTATTATTATTATTATTATTATTATTATTATTATTATTATTATTACACGTACATGCATGTTTTGCATTTTCTATTTTCTTATAAATACAAACTGTAAAGCTGTTACATGGATACAGTAGCTGCCAATGTGTTGGTTATTTTATTGTGTGATCTGTTTACCATTTATTATTTATTTTCCTGTATCTCAATCTTCCATCTCCTTTATAGTTAAAGGAACAAGTGGCAAAATTCACTCAAAGGTAATTAATTATTGTTATTACAAGCCACACCTTTTATTGCCTGTATCCTAGGTCCCAATCAGAGCCGTACTTTATGCGTAATACTACCGAAGGTTTTCGGGAAAGCCCCGACATGTATTTCCACACTTATCACGGCTTTAGGAACATCCCCGAAGAGCCTTCTAGAAGGGACTCTCCTCCACCTGGTTTTATTGACGAGCCCTCTACACCAGTGCCTCTTGATATTGGGGGAAAGGTATGGAAATATTAATAATAAAATATAATAATAATAATGATTTATATGTTAACAGCACTGTAGAGAGATTAGCAATATACATTATCTACAGTAGATAGTGTATATTTTTATTGTCTTTCCTTAGTTGTAGAGTAAAAAAAAGATAAGATGATATCTTAATATGTTTTTATTTGTTTTACTATATAAACCAGAGCCCATTGAGTCACATTGTAATATACATGTACATGTATACCTATAAATGTACATGTTCCTGTATTACTTTTCATTTGGACAGGAAGACCCTACCATCCTTTACTATAATAACTGTAATGTATTATATGGTATATACATGTATGTACATGTACATGTATGTACATGTATGTCAACTTGATGTGTCTAGTATTGCAATAGTTTAAACAAACATTTTGATTAAGTGCCCTCTTGTGCCAAAATTGTTTTCTAATTAACGAGCACTTCTTCCTCTAATAGGAAGGAGGTAAATTCATTCCCGAGGTTGAAGATGATGATCTCGATAATGCATCCCCAGCCTCAATCCCTTCTACTTTGGACATGTCATTCATTTCCGAGGAGAACCTCTCGATTACAGGTGAGGTAGCCCTAGCTCCTTCTTTCCTGGTCATATTGCCGGGGAATATTAATGAAATTTTTGAATAAAAAAATTTTACGCCACTTTTTATTCTTTTTAGGTGTAGACGGTTTACTGAGGCATCATGAATATTCACTATATGATGACAGTTAGCTTTCTCTTTAGTCTCTTATTTTTTTTCAAGTTCTACTATCTTCTACTTTTTTAATTGTAATCTTACTTTATAATTTATTTCAATTGTAGAAGAACACGGAGCCGAATCATTGACAAGAACATACCCAAGAGAGAAGAGTTACTCAATGGGGGAGCTTCCATCCCACACTCATAAAGCTAGTAAGACCATGATCATGAATTACATGATTCCACATTATTACTTCATTTTAAAATAATTAGAATTATGTGCATTTGTTGTATGATTAGTCCTAATTTTTTATCTCCAATTCCTACTTACGCATAATTATTATTTATTATTTTTTTGCTTACTATTATTATTATTTATTATTTTTTAGTGTATGGAACTTATCCATTGAATCCTCCTCCCAAGCTCCACCCACCTTTATCGTCGCATTATCATCACAAAATGGTTCCAGGGAGCTCTGACAGTCGGAGGTTACAAGATTCTGAGCTCCCGATACAGAAGTTAGCATCACTGACTGTGTCCCACAAAAGTAAGGATCATATACATGTGGTCTACCTCAAGACAGCTTTTTATTGTGGGTGCCTAATTTTAGCATGTTTAGCAAGGGATCTTTATTAAAAATAAGCAAATGAATTATTAACATCAATAATAGTAATAGAGCCAGTCTTTTAACAAAATCAAAAGTGCTATAATTCACTAGTAATACATGCTCGCAACTGAAGTGTAGAATTTTACTTTTCTTTATGTAGTAACAGCCCCAGCAAGATGGAGTAAAGGAAGACTATTGGGTACAGGAGCATTTGGACAGGTACTCTCCGTTAATGGCCACCATTTTGTTTTTATTAAGTTTTCTCTTGTGTGTGTCTGTGCAGGTCTTTTTATGTACTGATTTAGATACACAGATGGACATGGCAGTCAAAGTGGTTGATATTGATCACATTGAGAATATCAAGCCGTCACTTGATTCGCTTAAAATGAGCAAAGAAGTCCGTTCGTTTGAAACTGAAGTCCAGCTGCTTAAGAATATACACCACGAGAGGGTCGTGGGATACTACGGAACTGAAAGGAGAGAAGGGAAATTATTTATTTTTATGGAATACCTAGCAGGAGTGAGTACATGTATACTGGGAAACTTTAAAATTAGTATATTTTTAAAATGGCCATAACTTGAAAAATTTTAAGCTGGAATCAGCTCAAACTTTCTACAGAGCATAAGGACATCAATATGTATCAGAAAATGTAATAAAAATTGGGGGTGATTTTGGAGCCATTTTTTGGAAAAAACCATGGGCTATAGCCTTGGGTATTTTTCGGAAATTGGCCTATTTTTTAAAATGGCCATAACTCGAAAAATTTGAGTCAGAATCAGCTCAAACTTTCTACAGAGCATAAAGACATCAATATGTATCAGAAAATGTAATAAAAATTGGGGATGATTTCGGAGCCATTTTTTGGAAAAAACCATGGGCTATAGCCTTGGGTATTTTTTGGAAATTGGCCTATTTTTTTAAATGGTCATAACTTGAAAAATTTTAGACGGAATCAGCTCAAACTTTCTACATAGCATAAGGGCATCAATATGTATTGAAAAATGTAATGAAAATTGCGATGATTTTTATTCTTATTTTTTGCGTCTAGGGTTCAATATATCAACATTTAAAGAACACAGGAGCACTGAGTGAGGCACTTACTAGAAAATACACAAGACAGATACTGGAAGGAGTAGCATTTCTTCATGGAATGAAAATAGTTCACAGAGACATCAAAGGTAAGGGAGAAAGAGAGCAGAGAGAGTTTACATGTGTGTCATGGTTTTGCAGGTGCTAATATCCTAAGAGATTCAAATGGCAATGTTAAATTGGCTGATTTTGGTGCCTCAAAAAGACTACAAACGATCAGAAGTGGAATTGGGAGTGTTCATGGAACTCCTTACTGGATGGCACCTGAAGTCATCAAGGGCGATGACCCATACACTTTCAAAGCAGATATATGGTTAGAGAGAAAAAGAAAGAAAGGTTATTGATTTAACTGTTCTTATTTACCAGGAGCGTCGGAGCTACTGTTGTTGAAATGTTAAAGTGTCGCCCTCCGTGGTCGGACTTTGAGCCGACGGCGGCCATGTTTAAAATAGTTATGAACGACACAAAGCCAGACCTTCCTCCCCACTGCTCAGAGCAGGCACACAACTTCATTGAGCTCTGCTTCATCAAGTAATGATAGTATCAGTAATAATTGAATGTACAATTTAAATATAATTTGTTTTATTTTTTAGAGATAAAAATGAAAGACCGTCAGCAATGGACTTATTGAGCCATTCCTTTTGCTCAGTTTTTCCGAACACTTAATATTATTATTATTATTGTTATTTTTTCATTGTAAGTATTCTTATTCTTATTATTATTACTATTATTATTATTATTGATATTGTTGTCATACATTATTCTTTTCTTCTTTTTTTAATCATTTTTTTTCTTGTAATTTGTTTCTTATTGAAGAACCTAAAAATAGTGAAAACAAAATAATTGTCAAATTTGATTGCCAAAGTAATGGGAGAAAGCTTGTAGCAGTAGCAGAAAAGGAATTAAGATACTGTAGCTTTAGCACAGAGGCTTACCAATTAAACAAATAAGTTTTTCTGTGTTCATCTCTTCTTCAGTAAGCACTGGCCAATACGTGACAGTTGATTTCAGTTCAATTGGAACAGTTGTCTCATCTTCTAAAGCAATTGGGATCATGCACCTTGTTCTAGTTCTCTGCAGTCTATCCAGTGTGCTATGTAACTCCATCATACAGTATTCACTGTTCACAAAATTTCTTGTAAAAACAAAAATGACTTTTCTGCTCTCGTTCACAGCGTCATTGATGTTATCTGTGATAGTTTTGCCTCCAATGAAATCCGAATGGTGCCAGAATATCTTGTACCCTCTCTCCTCTAGTACTTGCTTTATGTGTCTTATTACAAATTCCTCTGCTTCTGTGTGATAGCTTAGAAAAGCATCCCATTGAAAGCCTTCATCTGCAGGTCATGAAATCAAGACGATACTTTCAAATCATTTCACTTACATGGAGGTTCTTTTGTTCTGGCGTATCTTGTTGCTTTATAGCAACGCAGTAATGCTGTTACTGCTGTCATAATAATAACGATTATTATTATTGCCGCTATCAGTGATACTGCTCCTATTGCTAAACTGCTTGACGGGCCTAGAGTCATAACAATTAGCTATAATTGGATTTTTTAAATCTTACTTTTTCTTTTTGTTGCTGTCACTTCAACTTGACGCACCACATCCAAATGTGAGCACTGATACTGGCCAATCGTCCAGTCTGACACTAATATCTCAACTGTACTGATCCATGAACAATTCTTACGCCCATTACTAGTAGAGTTAATGATTTCACAATCTTCATTGTCGTTTAATTTACACCAAACCGGAGGAGCATCATGAGGTGTACTATTGACCATGCAGGACAAAACTAATAGAGATCCATTTTCACCCACAGCTCTTTGAGTTGGTGATACTGTAAGACTAATGTTCTCACTGCTTAGCTTATGACATGCTGTGCAATTTGAGTAACGAAAGGTATAATAGTAATTAATGTACTGATGATGTATGCTTACCTTGTAAGTCAATATCAAGACTGTGGACTTTGTTCAACCCATAGCTACAATAGTAAGATCCAGCAAGAGACACAGAAAAGTTAGAGATGATCAGTGTGGAGTTCCACAAACACTTTCTGTCATCGTATCTGTATCTAATGCTATAAGATGGTCCAGGCTTTAGGGTAGGTATCCTAGTGGGTCTTGTTTCATAAAACGATTTAAAAAACCAGTTTGGTGGCTGGTTATGCACAGCATTGAAGGCAATGCATGTGATACTAATAGTTGATTTGATTGGATATGTCAGCTCATTGCTAGCAGTTTTAATATAACCATCAGTGTCAGTAGAACCATCACAAACTATAAGAAGCAAAGGATTCAATACATATACTAAATACAGTGCTAACTTTTAGCAAAGAGTCTGAATGTGGCTCCATTTATGTAGCAGTGTTGACCTAAATAGTTTTCAGCACAGCATGTATAAAATCCATTCATATACTCCTGCCAGTTCTGTATAGTCCAAGTCTTATTTAGACTATTGACATCAAATTCTAATTCCGTTGGTAATGATAGTTCTTTGCTTCGATCGATATCATTGTATCTATGCCACACAAAGTGAGGGCGAGGATTACCTTCTATAGGACATGATAGTCTAATGGGGCCGGACACATAAACATCAGGACTTGAGCCAAACTTTATTGAATAAGGGGGAACTACAGAGTGGGATATGATATATAGTTATAGGGAAACCTTTAAAATGCATTGTACAAACAGTTGTGAATGCAACCAATTGAGGCACTTATTCACTTACTGGTAACATTAATCTTATAGTTAGCTTCTATTCTTCCATCAATGGTGCATGAGATTGATGCCATTTGGTCTCTTGTCTGCAAATTGAGAGTCAGAAATGACACCGTTTGAATAGTTTCTATAGATCCTTCAAACGGTCGAATTATGGTATACGTGAAGTTTCTTGTAGGATCACCAGATGAGCCACAAGGAATAGTGAGGGACTGGTTGATTTCTCTGCTGCAGATAAAAGTCTGGTCAACACCACTTTGGGTGCAGTAACCTGAAAGATGATAAATACCTCAACTCCTCCTGCTGAGGTTAGCCTCAGTCCACCTCTGAGGTGGGAACTAGCACTTGAACAAAGTGATAATGCCATTAGGAGTTTTGGTAAAAGCAACAACAAGAATAGGCAGTCTTATCTGACATTTGCTTTTCTAATATTGCTGCATACTGCAGTGATATGTATAGTGGGTGTTTTCAAAGGTCATAAAACGATGTCAGCATTGATATTGCTGCAATTAAAGCATTTGCAATGTTACAGCAAATTTAGCCAGCATATAATAGCAAGTCTGATTACATTACTGTTGCATAGTTTATGAGGTACAGCTCTTAGTGCAGATCATTGAACAAAGCAACAAATAAAGCTTGAAGCAAGCATGCTTCATCAGGCATTTTGTGTAGCAATCAATAATCCAGCTACTATACATTTTATTGACTTACTTTGAGAATTTGTCTTTGCAAGCAATTGATAGCAAAAGAGAGCAAACAACAGAAACATCTTGAGCAGCTCCAAAAATTATATTATTCACAATTGTGGGTGTGTCACTCAACTAATTAAAAATTCATGGGTGTGTAGAGGGTTTGGTTTAAAATGCTCTCAAGATTTGTGGCGAACTTTTGCTACAGGAGATCCATAAAACTAATGTCTAGCGGTCCAGCAAGCCCAGTTAAAGACTTATACAGTCAAAGAACACCTTATGAGAGTCAAATTTTGTCTGAGGAGAGCCTAGTGTCTAAGGATGACCCCCTGGCTGTATTTCACTCTTGGTTCCTAGCTGCTTCCCAATGTACAGAAATAAAGGAAGCCAATGCAGTCTGTCTGGCCACCTGTTCTCTCTCAGGTCAACCATCTTGTAGGATGCTACTGATGAAGCACTATAGTGGCGAAGGCTTCAAATTCTTTACCAACTATCAGAGTCGTAAAGGTCAGGACTTGAGTGAGAACCCTAATGCAAGCCTTCTCTTTTATTGGGCTCCTCTTCACAGGCAGGTGAGGATAGAGGGAGTCGTTTCGAAACTAGCTGAAGACGAATCAGCTGTATATTTCAACTCTAGACCCATCTCAAGTCAAATCAGTGCCGTAGTTAGTCAGCAGAGCTCAGAAGTTAACTCTAGGGCTGAATTGGAAGAAGAACATCAAAAAATTACAGAGAAATGCGAGAAGGGAATCCCTCTGTCTAAGCCTGAGGATTGGGGAGGGTTTGTCCTAGTGCCAAATTATTATGAGTTTTGGCAGGGACACAGTAACAGACTTCATGACAGGATCTGCTTCAAGAGAAGAGGAGAGATTTGGAAGCTTGCAAGACTAGCTCCGTAGAATTGAACTAATGCATGCATTCATTTCAATCTCATTTTAGTGTAAAGAATTGAGCATGAGCTAAGTTAATTTGGGTGGAGCTCATTGGTTTTTGCTAATCATATTTTCAGCATTAGTTTTTTAAAGTTTGCAATTTGCACTTTTGCTGAGCATAAAAATGGCCGACCATGAGCACCACCATCACGGAGAAGAGGGACACGGTGACTGTAGTGATGCGCCTCCTTTCACAGAAAACGACCTAGTAAGCAAGACAGACCCTTTCCCTCAAATGAAGGCATGGGAGGAAGAAGGGAAATCTGATGAGTTCCCGTTAAGAACTCTCAGCACAGTCTCAGAGGATGGGATGCCTTCCTCTCGTTATATTGGTCTTGTCATCACTGACAGTGGTATCAAATTCATGACATGTGACAAGAGTAACAAAGCAAACGAGTTCAGCTCAAACCCTAAGGCGTGTGCATTGTTTTATTGGCCCTCCCTGGACAGGCAAATGATAGTCAAGGGCAGGGTGGAGAAACTCCCTCGGGAAGAGTTCCTTGAGATGTATAAGTTTTGTCCGTCACGCGATTGCCAGGTGACGGTAAATATGGGAGATCAGGACGAAGTTCTGAGCGGATACGAGGAGCTGATGGAAAGGCGCAGGGAGACTGAGGCTAAGTTTAAAGGTGTGGAGCCACTCCCTCCTCCTGATTCTTGGCAGTGCTATATCCTCCAGCCGACTTACTTTGAGTTTTATCAGGGCCATCACAACTGGCAGTCTGACAGGATTGTCTTTACACAGAGCCCTGATTCCACGTGGTCTGTCAAACGGTTCCTTCCTTAACTTTGATTGCAATCATTCATTCATTCATTTAGATCTACTACTATCTACTAACTTCATTTTTGTTACTTCAGTTATTCTGTACTTGTGATTTCTTTAGTTTTTTTGCAAAACTAATAATTTTATTTCTGATTTTTGATAATTGTTAAAATTAGTTGATTAATTATTTTAGCCACACCTTCATGTATCACGTGATCTTCCCGCCTATTTGGCGGGAAATAGTAGAAAAATGGCCGCCTCTGAGTTGTCATCTCCAAAGGGAAGGCCGTGGAATCCTCCTAGAAAAGACTTGACTAAAGGGTAAATAGAGTTTTGTATTTACTAACAATTTAAAGCCTTTTAAAGGTTTAGTCGTAGTTCCAAGATGCTGGCAGCAGCTTTCAATAGTAGTAATAAAGAAAATAAGTCAAGTTAGCCTATTATGAAATTGTGGTAATATATTTACTTATTAATAGATTTCTACAACAGTGGTCATACTAATCCTTTTAAAATACCGGAACGCCAATTGACAAGTCCTCAAGGAACTAAAAGGTCACTGTCTCTCTCTCCACTCCCTCCTCCCATCCCTCACCCAAAAAGGGCACTTCTGACACCAAACAAAATGACAAGAGATCCAACACTACCTTCACCTCCTAAACGCTCAAAAACAGACTCACCTGAAGGGTAAGTACAAAATAATGCAAATTTAATAATTATTATTTGTCATCTTTCTCTTCTCTATCCTTTTAAGATTTATCAATTTAGGTAACACGTGTTATCTCAATGCTGTCCTCCAGTCTCTTCTCTCCTTGAGATGTTTTGCACTCGATATTGTTCAGTCGCACAAAGAGTCTCCGTCTTTATCAAACAAGTCTCTCTTTCGTATGTTATTTCTACTCGTTAAGGCTAAGTACAGTGGGAGTGGCCTTGACGGTCAGATAATCCTCATCAAGGACATCAGAAGAATCATTAGGGAGAGAGCTAAGAATTTTTATGGTTTCAATGAGCAGGTGAGTGGGTGTGGTTTGTTGCCATGGTGATGTTTATTGTATAGGATGCACACGAATTGTTGACTCATTGCTTAAGTATGTTGCGGTCTGATATATCAGCTCTTAAAGATTCTAAGGTATTATGTGCAATTTATATTATATCAATTTAACTATACCAAATACTTATTAACACTACCACATAATGTTAAGGTAATGGTATATGTGAAGTCATTACATGATTTTAAATGTCACTACATGTACAGTAGAATGTGTAGAAAATAGTCAAACTATAAGTTTATCACACGAAAGTGCTAAATGTTCTAAGTTACTTATTTTTCTCTTTTCTGGTGTCTTTTGCAACAATTACTCCAGACACAGCACCCATAACAGCCACCCCTGCTACAGCCCCCAATGCTGCTCCTCCTACCATACCTGGTACATGACCCACTACACCAACCCCAGCTCCAATTATTCCACCTGCTACTGCTCCAGTCACTGTAGGGAGACTTATGTTCCCTGTTATTCCTAATAATCGTTGGGTTGAGTAAAACTTTAAGAGAGGACGAGACCTTTCACTGCATCGGCTAATGCAAGACTCCCACAATACCTTTAACCAATTTTCTGTTGTTGGTAACTTTATTTCATCTTCTTCTCCAGCGATGCAGAATGGTATCTTACCTATTGTTTCCTCTGTAACTTGACCAGAAAGGAATTCAGATATTTTCTCTTTAAATGTAGCGATTTTACGACGAATGCTTTCCTCCTTTCCTTCATCTTTCAATTGCTTTATATTTCCAAGTCGAAGGAGCATGTTGGTGAAGGTCAGTACAATTACTGATCTCTCCCACATTTCATTGCTGATTTCCTTCTTCAGTGTTGTGAACATCTTTTGCACATCACTTGTGGCTCGAGAATCAAACTTCAAGCATATCAAGACCAAATCAAATTTATTCTTCTTGGCTATTTCTCGTACTATATGCTTCCCACTCTTTCCTTTGGTGTCACCGAACCCAACTGTATCATATATTTTTATCTGTACTTTTACAATCTCCCCTTCATATTCTGTTATTTCAGATTGAACTGATTCGGCTCCATGTTCAACATTTGCCACGACTTTTCCCATTAAAGCATTCACGATTGTTGATTTCCCTGAGCCAGTCGGTCCAATGACTAGTATATTAATTGGCTCTTCTTTATCACGCAATTCTTGTATCTTTTATCTTTTGTGGAAGTGAGTCAAAAGAGTCTTCAATGCTTCTGGTGTTTGGCTGTTCTGTTGGGGATATTGGCCTATCTTCAATGTCAGTTGGGTAACCCTGCTCTTCACCTTTATGATCATCATGGATAGATTTCTCCTCATCATTGCTCTCTATTGTAATATCTTCTTCAGTGGCCATATTGAAAGAAGCAAAGCTAGTTCTTTGTCACATGAGGTCATGAATAATAGCAAGAGATGATTTGACCAATCAGAATCCAATCTCATATTCTGAAACTACACACAATTGCATGTAGTGGGAAGGAAGAGTTGTAAAAACAATTAGCATTCAATATGGATGTATAGTAGTACGAAGAGTAGAATAAACACATTAATGATCAGCCAAAATTCTGAAGAAATTTTATATAGCAACAACAGGTCATAATTTTCCCTTGGGGTCATATTTTCCTTAGTGCTTTGTGCATATTAAAATTATAGTCTTTCAGTGGTATTTATCATAGGTGTTCAGTCTCTGCCCAGTTGAGATTAATTTACAAAATACTTATTAAATAACACTACATTAAATTTGCACATAACATTAAGGTAACAGTATATATATAAAGTTATTACACGATTTTAAATATCACTACATGTACATATATAGTAGAATGGGTAGAGAATAGTGAAACTTAGTTTATTGCACTAAAATACTAAATGTTCTGAGCTACTTGTTTTTCTTTTTCTGGGTGTCTTTTCCAACAATTCCTCCAGACACAGCACCCATAACAGCTGCCCCTGCTACAGCCCCCAATGCTGCTCCTCCTACCATACCTGGTACATGACCCACTACACCAACCCCAGCTCCAATTATTCCACCTGCTACTGCTCCAGTCACTGTAGGGAGACTTATGTTTCCTGTTATTCCTAATAATCGTTGGGTTGAGTAAAACTTTAAGAGAGGACGAGACCTTTCACTGCATCGGCTAATGCAAGACTCCCACAATGCCTTTAACCAATTTTCTGTTGTTGGTAAATTTGTTTCTCCAAAATTACCAGCAATACGGAATGGTATGTTACGAAGTGTACTCTCTGTGACTTTGCCAGAAAGGAAATCAGATATTTTTCCTTGAAATGTGTCGATTTTACCAAGAATGTTTGCCTCCTTTTCTTCATCTGTCAATTTCTTTACGCTTTCAAGTTGAAGGAATATGTTGGTGAAGGTCAATATGATTACTGATCTCTCCCACATTTCCTTGCTGATTTCCTTCTTCAGTGTTTTGAACATATCCTTCACATCACTTGAGGCCCGAGAATCAAACTTCAAGCATATCAAGATCAAATCAAATTTATTCTTCTTGGCTATTTCTCGTACTATATGCTTCCCACTCTTTCCTCTGGTGTCACCAAACCCGATGGTATCATATACTTTTATCTGTATTCCCTTGACCTCTCCTTCGTATTCTATTGTTTCAGATTGAACCGATTCAGCTCCATGCTCAACTTGGGTCACATATTCTCCCATTAAAGAATTCACGATTGTTGATTTCCCTGAGCCAGTTGGTCCAATGACTAGTATATTGATTGTTTCGTTTCTATCACGCATTTCTTCTATCTTCGCTCTTGTCTCCTGTGAAAGTGATTCAAAAGGGTCTGTAATCCTTACGGTATTTGGATTTTCTTCCTCTTCCGGCTCCGGGGATGATATTGGCCTGTCTTCAATGTCACTTGGGTAGTGCTGCTCTTCAAGGTCATCATGGACAGATGCATCCTCATCACTGCTCTCAATTATAATAGCTTGTCCAGTAGCCATATTGAAAGAAGCAAAGCTATAGTTCTTGGTCACATGAAACAAAGCTAGTTCTTGGTCACATGAGTCATGAATAATAGCAAGATATGATTTAACCAATCAGAATGCAACCTCATTCTGTAATATCATATCTTTGATAACATATTCATTGGTCAATGTGGGATATTTTCAGTATCAAGTGGGCGGTGGGTTGTAAAAACAATTTTCATTCAATGGATGCAGATTTATTGTACTGTATGTATCATGTTTTAAAAACAGTCATTCTCATTATTCTCTTAGCCCAAGTGTTGGTCATAATGATATAAAATTTTAGCTAGAATAACTGAAAATGCATTAAATTTAATTTAAGAGTCAAATTGAGATATATCTTTTCGTTTTTGTTCTTTTTAAATGATGGTCTTTGTAGGTGTTCAGTCTCTGCCCAGTTGAGATTAATTTCAAGAGCAGTATAGAGCAGAGTTTGAAGTGTACTGTTTGTCATTCCACTGTAAATAAATATGAAGAAGTCTTAGATCTCTCTCTTCACTTGTTAGTCACAAATATTACAATGATGATGATGTATTGATTTTTTTATATAGTACAACTGGTAGTCGCAATAGTCTACAAGAATTATTAGAAGATTATTTCAAGGTAATTATGCAATTTGAGTTCTCCTGTCTACTTCTTCATCATTTCAGAGTGAAACTGTTGAGTACAAGTGTCACAGTTGTTCTAACTCATCTTGTACTCTATCAAGAAAGCTATCAGCCTTACCAAGAGTACTCATACTTACTCTTAAGAGGTACTCTCTTAACGATCGCGGCAGTTGTGACAAGAATCTTGACCCTGTTCGAATCCCACGTCATTTAAATCTAGCACCCGTTTCTAATCCTGACCCAATACTCTCCTCTCCTTATGATAATAAACAAGATGTGCTTGGGTATGACCCCATTACAATGCCCACTGCATAAACCTTCTTTTATGCTAGGCAATTGATGGGTAAGAAACTAGAGACTGTAATAGCAGAGAAAGAAATCTCTCCTCAAGAGAAAAGACATGCATTACCATACAGACTTACTAGTATCATTAGTCACTTTGGAAATAAATCATCCAGTGGTAAGAAAACAATCTATTATAGTATAGTAACTATGTATGTAAATTGTAGGTCATTATGTTAGTGAAGTTCATTGTCCACTGACCAATACTTGGTGGCATTGCAATGATTCGCATGTTTCAATGACAACAGAAGAGGAGGTTCGACAGCTTCATCAGACAAAGGCATACATCCTGTTTTATATTGCAATCAATCGATAAATCATTCATCAAATATTTAATATGTTTAATAAGTGTGTGTACATGTATGAATGTGTATTGTTGTTTTAGTCGATTAAAAAATTTATAATGATTTCCTGTTTCACACCCACTTTGTGAGGCACTTGTAAATTAAATGGCTCATGTACAAGGTAAAGCCTCTCAGTCATAATATTATCTACTGAACCTTCTGCAGATCACTATAATGTCATTGCTCAAGAGTATGACTTCTTTTATGACCATATGTATGAAAAACTAGCCGAAGCATCTTGTAAGTGGCTCAAACTGCTACCAACTGATTCACTGGCTGACATTGGAGGTGGTACTGGAGCTGTCAGCTCTTTAATATGGAAGAAAGCAAGTAAGCTTCAAGACAGCAAAAGTGCTATTTTGTTTTTTTTCTGTAGATCTTGAGCAACCAGTACTAGTTGTAGATCCAAGCCCTGAAATGTTGCAGCCAGCCAGTAAAAGGGAAGGGGTCCTCACTTTGGAGGCTACGTTTGATGACTTTATCAGTTCACATCCACACACCATCTCGAAATATAATAAGTTTGTTTTTAACGGATGCATTTTACTCTTCCCTAATCTTGAAGCCTCAATTGCTGCATTTTACAAGCTACTGAAGCCTGGGGATCAATTACTGATTGTTCAGTACAATATTTTAATCTGGAAAGAGAACCTGAGGACGAGTTGGGATTCATTGAATGAGCTCGAGGAGTTCCATAAACGAGCTGGCTTTTGTGTAGAGAGAGGAAAAGAGTCTCATTCTCATAGCTACTCAAGAGAAAAGTATTTTATTCTCTACGTCATTGCTGCTACACAGCACTAAGCTTATTTACTGACGAGGAAATTGAAGTGGGAATCAAAGAACTTGATGAAACTGTTTTTAAAGGAGAATCACTCAAAGAATTAACTGATTTTTATTATAGTTGCAACTAAAACATAACTATGTGCCTTACAATTTCGTAGCACATGCTCTTTAACTTCAAAATTTATGCATATTGATGTCCTTATACTATTTGAGTATTTAAATCTTATTACTAAAGCCCAAGAAATAGTGTGCATTCAAATTGATTCAATACATTATTAAATCAATAATTTCCTGATTTACACCCACTTGACAATATGGCTCATGTACAAGGTAAGAGACATCTCGTGATCTATCCACTCTGCACCTTCTGCAGGTCACTATAAAGCCATTGCTCAAGAATATGACTTCTTTTATGACCATATGTATGAAGAACTGGCTGAAATATCTTGTAAGTGGCTCAAACTACTACCAACTGATTCACTGGCTGACATTGGAGGTGGTACTGGAGCAATCAGCTCTTTAATATGGAAGAAAGCAAGTAAGCTTCAAGACACCAAAAAATACCAAATGTTTATTCTGTAGATCTTGGGCAACCAGTACTAGTTGTAGATCCAAGCCCTGACATGTTGGAGCCAGCCAGTAAAAGGGAAGGGGTCCTCACTTTGGAGGCTACGTTTGATGACTTAATAAATTCATATCCACACATTATCTCAAAATATAACAAGTTTGTTTGTATCGGTTGCATTCATCTCTTCCCTCACCTTGAAGCCTCAATGGCTGCGTTTTACAAGCTACTAAAGCCTGGGGATCAATTGCTGATTGTAGAGCATCCAGAAGTCTTAGTCTGGAAAGATTTGAAGACAAGATTCAATTCACTGGATGAGATTGAGGAATACCTCAAGCAAGCTGGTTTTAGTGTAGAAGAAAGAGGAGAAGAGTCTCATTCTCATAGCTACTCAAGAGAAAAGTATTTTTACTCTCTACGTCATCGCTGCTACACAGCACTAAGCTTACTTACTGACAAAGAAATTGAATTAGGGATCAAGAAACTGGATGAAACTGTTTTTAAGGGAGAACCATTCAAAGAATTAACTGATTATTATTATATGATAGTTGCAACTAAAACATAACTGTGCGTGCATTAGAAAATTAAAAATAAAATTAAAAATTTATAATATACACAGTTAAAATAAGTCTCTGTTATATATAAGGATATTTATATAAAAGCCAACACCACGTCGTTATTAAGTATTAATTATTTCCACCCGCGATTCGTGCCAAGAGCTCTGATCTTTCTAATTCTAGTGTCACTTTAAGTGTGATTGCTTTCCTCATGTTTTTAAGACTTCTTTCCTTTGCTTTGGTCAAAGTCTCAATTTCTTCAGTCATCTATGGAATATAACATTCAGTCTGCTATTGTATGTACACTCAGCATGCCTTTACCTGTTGTTTCATTGATAATAATTGTGGTTGATACTTTTGATCAAACTTCTCAAGAAAATTTGAGATATAAGTAGTGACTATGTCCATATGAAACTATAAGATAATACATTGATTCATCAGTATTTCATACTGTTAGTTTATATTACCTGAACAGTTTTTGTTCTAAGATTTTCTGATGTTAAATACTTCTCACATCGTTTTATAAAGTCCTCCTTCACATCATTGTCCAGATTTTTGTGACTATAAACATAATGCAAATCACTATAATTATTATTATGCATTACTTACTCAATTGCATTTTCTACTGAGTCTGTATGCAAAGAAAGCATAGTACAGAAATAGGGGTGAAGTTGATCAGCTATTGCTTGTCTAAAAATAAAAAAATAAAAGACAGTTATATCAACGTATTCTTACAGTGTATCATCGTCATTGATGAATGTTTCTAGAGTGACTGGATAAGACAGTTCTAATCCACTAGTGCATGATAGTCTGTTGTAATCTTTCCTAGTACAATCTCCTTCAATACTTCCTCCTCCTCCTGGTATTATAATGAGTTCCAGTGATGTTTTCTCCTCGAGTAAATGATCAGCAAGTTTAGTGAGCTCTAATGCATTCTCTTTTATCATTTTAAATGGAAGAACATTGTGCATGCTATTTAAAATGACACCTCTTCTTATTTTTTTCACTTGATTTGCTGCCCCACGACAAAAACTATCAATATCTATACCAGAAATAGAGAAATATAATCTTCCATTCTTACCAAGTTCACATGTTTCCTGAAGTGCTTCATTGCAGGGATATTCAACCTGATATTGAACGAGTCTTCTCACTTTTGATGTGCTCATTTCTTTGAATCTTTCTATAAGGCTTTCAGCTAGTTTTCTAAGATTCAACAATGGCTCCTGTATATGAATTATGCATAAAGTTTAGCTATATTTCTAATACTTTTATATCTGTGTCATAGGCTTCTATTAAGCCAGCAAATAGTGTTGTGTTGTCGATATTTGAAGATATGACAGAATGACATAACCTCAGCTCTTCCATCATTTGCGACTTTTGGACTAAAAGAGTCTCCATATCTAACATGATAAATAATATCTACAATTATTGTTAGTCACTTACTCTCTAGTTTCATAGTGAGAGTATCTATTTCTGTTTGGAGGAGGTCAATGCATTGATGAATGCAATAAACAATATCAGATAATACTGAGAGCTGTTTGAGGTTATTAACATTTTTTGAGTGATGCTCAACCCTATACAAAATCACAGGTATATACATTGTGATGGATCCTTATTACTTACCAGTCTTCAATGTCTGAAGTCCCAGTTATTATCTCAAATATTTTCTCGTCACTTGCTCCCTCGAGGTCACTGCTCATTTCTCTGTAAGGTTCATGCAGATCCAGCCATTCTTGTAACTGAGCTTCTGTCCCTGGTCCCTCTTCAATCCCTTGGTAATAATCTCGAGCTAATCTTGACCACTTCAGTATGGCTGGTTTGATGCAACTTGCAGGCACCTCAGTGCCTGTGTGATGCTTAATTTGTCCAGCCGCTTTTTTCTTTATGTACTGTTCAAAGTCTTGATGATCCTGTAGCCTATCATAATGTGAGTATTCGCTACTTGTCGCACTGAGAGAGCCAGAGTTGGCATGAGATGCAATATTAATTTGTCTGCCCATCTTTTGGAGCTCCTCGTCCGTGAAGCAAAGATCAAGCTTGTTTGCAACAATTAGAGCTCTTCTCTGATTAAATATATCTACAGAAAACAAGTTTGTAAACTGTATCTTTATAGTGGGTGATGATTATCAATGACCTGCTTTCATTACTACTTCTCTCACTATTGTTGATATGCTAACCTTTGTCTCTCTGTAGCAACACTTCCAGATAGCCTGTCTCAACTCTCTCCTTGTGTATCTCCTGGCAGCTCATAACACAGAGATAAGCTGAGCAGGAGAGAAGTGAGCGAGTAAACTCTTCATTGAGGTTCCCAGCCTGTGCATGACTCATGTAAGGACACAGTTTGAAGACCAGGTATGAATCATTGCTACTAGTCGAACTTCTATTTCTATAAAAATACATAATATAAATAAAGAATTTTAATTTCTTTATACCTTGAATGCTGGAGTACACTAAGTAATGTTCTCCTCCCAGATTCAGCCTCTCCGCATATTCCAATGGAAACTATCTTTTCCTTCATTTTGTATTTGACAGGCTCCAAGTAGTGTTTTTGGAAATCCTCACGAGTTTCCTCAGGGCACCATTGAGCTATATCTTTCAATGCTCCCTGCATGTTATGCATATAGGTTATTGGTGTTGCATTAAAATGTGTTTATACATTGTAGGAAATTGCTATATCACTAGGGAATTATACACTGTTTTATGCATGCGTAGTGTAGCTGTGCTATGCTAGCACAGATATAAAGGCAAACAGTTTACTTAAAACACCTGTGAAGTGTATTTCAGTACAATTGGGTATACTACTCAAAACTTGATGAAATGTGATAGTCTGCTGCACGTGCTATGTATGCATCAGATTATGCTTACACTACAGTTTATAATATTACGATAACAAAAGTATGGGACTTCCCAACTGAGCTCACTCACTTTCATTTTGGTCTTGATACTTTCTTTTTTTTCTATTGCATCACTTGCCACTGAACTACCTGCATTATGAAAATACAATAAATTAATAATAATTATGATGATATTGTAAGCAAGTGGAATATTGTTTATATTTTGCATATTAAAGGTATGCAATCATTACCATCACTGAAAACCACAGTTCTTAATCAGAGTATTTTATAGTCCCTTACCTCTTATACTATCAATGAAACTACCAGCTAATCCTTCATACCAGCTCTTGGAGCGGCGGCCAGAGACATTGCTCTCACTGCTGCTGCTGCTGGACAGTTCCTCAACATTTCCAATGGTATTGCTTCTTTGTCTTCTTGGAGGAAGCACACTCTGGGATGGAGCTGCTGCAGCTGGTACAGGAGTGTTGAGTGGTGGAGCAAAGTGATGAAAAGGTTGGACCATATTTACCAACAAATCAAGATTATCTAATCTAGAGAAAAAGATCTTTTTTGATGCTTGAGCTGAGCTAAAGGTCTTATGTGGTTTATTAATTTGGGGCGGAGCTAAAAATTAACTAGGTGGAGGAGGTTATCACACTATATATATTAGAGTGGGAGTTATGTCAACTGCACAGTAGGATCATTAAAATAAAATAATAAATTCATCCAGATTAAGAAAACTAAGTACAATATACATATGCACACTTATTGTAGCTGTCAATGTAATCATTCCTTGGAAAAAGCAGCTTTGAAAAACTCTAGGAAAGATCAAAATAATCATGCAAAACCTCATCTTTATCACAGCCCTACCTCCATAATCTACTTTCCCATCATTATTGGTATCAGCTCTTTTTAAGAGCTCTTCCAAATCTTTTTTTGTTACAGAGTTACCAACAGCCTCCCTCATCTCCTTCTTGCTGATATACCCGTCACCATTCTTGTCAAATTTGCGACATATTTCCAAAGCACCCTCTGGCAATTGCGATTTTGTAGTAGATGGCTGCTCTGTTGCCTATAGAAAGAGGTAATTGCGTGTTTTTATAAGTATGAGTACTTCTGCGTCGTTGCTAACAGTTGTAGTATCCTCAAAACAGCAGAGAAGATTCATCTTGTCTTGTCTTGTTTGTTGGCTTTGCTTTGCCAGCTTGCTGCAGCCAGCCACTCCCTTTTTAGAGGGAGGTGCTTAAAGTTATTTATGCGCTAAATACTTTAATCATAGATAGATTAATTAATAAGCTTTAATCAAGTTATGGCAGCCGTAGTTACCCTTTTCTTATTCCTCCTTTTCTCTGTTTCTTTAGTGTATGGTAAGAAAAAGACTCTTATTTTATTTTATTTCCAAATCTATTAAAGGTTGTTCGTATGGTTCTGTACGACTCTACGATAATGGTAGTGTAAATCAAACAGACAGGGGAACAGTTCAATATTGTTATTCTGGTTATTGGAACAATGCATGTAATGTGGGATGGGATTGTCCTGAAGCTAATGTCGCTTGTCGTCAGCTAGGATACTTAGGAGCCAGTAAGAACTTTTGAATGTCTAATATAAAATTATGAATAATATTATTATGTCAATAAAGATCATGATAATTATTATCTTTGTGCACTTAATATGCAGGTACTTATTATCAAAATGCTCAGCAATATTTTGGTTCCACTGGTTATTCCAGACGATATTACTACTCTTGTTCTGGTTCTGAATCATCACTTACAAGTTGCAGTAGCTCTTATTATTATTCTTGTCAATCCTCTAGTTATGCTGCTGGAGTGCAGTGTATTGGAGAAATTGATGCTAACAACAGTAAGCCACCATGTGTCATATAATTATTAATACATGAGGTATTCATTAGATACTGCTAATTGCTCTGAGTCAGGATCAGTACAACTGACAGGAGGTGCAACTGATTCAGAAGGAGTATTACACTATTGTTACAATGGTGCTTGGGTTCAATTTTGTTCGTTGGGTGATAAGGAAGCAACTGTAGCTTGTAAACAATTAGGTTATGAACCATTTGCAAGTAAGAGTATCAGAGTATATGAAGTGTTATGTACACAATGTATTCAATAGGGTTTATTTCTCTATCTGATCTGGATTCCTGGGAACTAGGCTATTCCCCACTCACTATCTCATGTAGTAGTTATGCTACTGAATCGGATTTGTCTAGCTGTTCAGTATCTTCATCTTCATCATCTTCATCTTGCATTTCTAGCTCTCTAAGCTGTGCATCTCCTAAAGCTATTAGATGCTATAGTGAGCTGCATTGTAGTCATGTAGTCATATGTAAATATTCTATTTTCTTGTTAGGACAAAGTAGTTCATGCACTGATGGCAGTGTCCGTTTAGTCAACGGATCAGTATATCAGGAAGGAAGAGTAGAAGTATGTGTTGATGGAGTTTGGGGCCCAGTCTGCAGCAGTGGGTGGGATACTACTGATGCTAGGGTAATCTGCAAACAGTTAGGATATGCAGACTCTGGTATATGATAGTCCATAGTGTTATTCT